GTAAACAGGAAAAATCTGTAAGGTAGGGAGGTCATTATGTCTTTTTTTTCCTCACTTTATTATACTTTAGAGAGTTACTGTATTATGTATGCAAATAGTTATTCTTTATACAGAAATTAGGGGTTTTTTCCTCTCAAACTTACAATTTTATATGTGGGAAAGTAGGACGCAATTTTGTTAGATGCAAGAGGTAAGATAAGCTAGCAGTGTCATAATGCTCACGCATACATTGGTAGCTCTTACTTCCATTTCCAGAATGGCCTCCATATTCTGAGAGGGCTGGAAACATGAACTGAATGCTGAGCCTTTCCTACTTCCACTTATCTCTATGGACCAGAGTGGTGGGCACAGCCTGTCCCCTTGGGAGCTGCTGGGGCTTCTTCTGTGCAAAGAGGGAAGAATAAAAAAGCCTTTGCAGCAGGCAAGGAAATCGGCAGCCCGCTGAGCTCCCTTGTTATTGCTCCCAGTGACTGTGGTTGACCCTCTACAGCTTACATGGCCTGGGCAGCCTCAGGATGAATGGAAGCTTAAAATGAAAAATGGATAGAGGAATTTCAGGAGATTTACTTGTGTGAGAGGGCCAGTACGAAGCCGTTGTGTCACATCGGACTTGAAAAACTATTTTGAATAGGACTGAAGAAAAACATAATGGGCCAGAATTTCTCACAGCAGGGAAACAGTTTTGTGAGTAGTGTGAATTATCCAAATATGATTATTTAGTGAGATGACTGCTGTCCATTTTGGCTAAAAGGTTGTCTTTAGACCTGGGGAAGCTCTGACTAGTTTATCATAAAAAGAATTGTATGATACGCTCTCCAAGCAAAGCATACTTTATGGCAAGGATTGCAGAGCCTTTTCTCGATGCTCCTTTTCTGTTTGTATAATATGCCATTTTCCTGACGAAATGATAGGCTATTTCCAGACAAGCCAGATCACAAACTGTAGAATGTCTACATTAAAATAAACAACAATTACATGCCATTTTCTTCCTTAAAATGATTGTTTAGAGCTTCTGGGTTTCAGGGAATTATAGGTACAGGAAAAGAAGGAAGAAGGAGTTAAAATATTGAAATATCTTTGATATTTTCCATTATGCTAATTTGGAATACCAGAAAGGAAAGGATGAAAGTTAATATATTGATTTGTAGACATCATTTGATCAGTGCTTTTGTGGAAAAATAAATGTTTTTTAAAAAATATTTTTTCCAGGCCTGCATTAGAATTTATTGAGTAAATTCATAAATTCATATTTGCTTAATGTATACACAATAGGTCTTGCATGAAATTAGCCAGCAAAATCACTTATTTTTGTAGAATACAGGTAACAAAAATCAATAGCATATTTTCGACCAGTAGTTTTGCATTTACTTTAAAAGCTTCCCTTCGCATGGAAGTGAGGCCTGCCTTATCTTCACCGAATAGGTGTTCCCTGACACTAATGCTGTGACTGACACTGCTGAAAGTAATAGTCCTGTTCCCTTTGTAGCCCGTGGCTTCTAAATCTGCTTTTCGTTTATCAGTATAATGGGGTTGAATACATTTTTAAAAGGTGGTAGCTATTGATTACTTAATGGAAAAAGTTAGTGTAAGGAATTGCTGAGGCAGCCCTATTTAGTGCTCCCTAGTGCAACCAGACCATTATCTAGAATAGTGGAAACCGTTCTGTAACCCTTATTAATATTTAATAGGTATGAAGCAACATCGAGGTACACTACGAAATGGCCCAAGGCTTCTGCCCATGCAGGATATAAGGTTGTTTCAAGGGTCAAAAAAGAATAACTGATTTACCCATGTTCAAGCTGTTTATGAGCAGGACCAACTATAAACAGAGTTTTTCCTCTTATTCCCTCTAAAGTATTTGCAGCATATCTGCACTTTAATATTGAGTTATTCCTACTAGACATCTTGAAATGATTGAATGAAACAGAAAGGTCAGTATGCGTTAGAAATCACCACATGAAACTACTTTATGCTTTGCCAATGTTGTTGCAAATAGCAGCCCAGCCTCCCTGTGTCTCTCCATCCTGCTCTGTGCTTCAGGGCACATTTGGCTGGGTTGACAAGGCAGGGAAAGGTGTTAATCCTGTCTAATAGAACCATAATCCTTGGGGCTATGTTTTTATATCATACTATTGAGCTAACCCCCGTCACAGGATATTGTTCGGCTATTTAATAGCAAAGGTCTTTCTGGGAATTTTAGATAAAATTAAAGTGTACAAGTTAAATTGTCCTTTCTCAATTTTGGAGTGAAAAAAACAAACAAATAAATAAACCACAGTGTTTAGCCAACAGAGATTTTCTGAGAGATTACACTCAATTAAGAGGAGAGCTGTGTGATTTTTTTTTCTTTTCTTCTTCTCTCCCAAGTGAATACTATACGTCATTTTACTTGTCCAAAAATATTCACAAATCTGGGTCAGCTGCTCCAAATAACCTTTGGCTTAAAAGATTTTTTCAGGTTAGATATGCACAGAAATATTAGTGGAAAAATGGAATCTCATTTTCTCTTAAGTTACATTGGTTAGAACATGGATCCAGAATGTGGGTGCACATTCCTCTTCCTTCTGGTTCTGCTCAGGCCTCTCCCTCTGCTGCATCCATATTATTCTGGGAGAGGGGAAGGGCTAGTTACTAGACTAGTTTGGAGAAAACAGCGACAAGAAACAGCAACTTTTATTTTAAATTATGTCTCTTTTCAATTGTGTTCCAGGGAATGCTGATTTTTTTTTTCTTTTTAACTGAGGACTTTAAGATCAAGTGTTTTTGTATGGTTTCCCGTGGTTTCATATGGTTTTTTTGCCCTCTCTGCCAACTATTTTTAGTTTAAAGACAACTGTGTGTAAGATCTGGAGGAGCTAATATGGGCAAGAGCTAATCGGCATAAACCCATTGATTTATGAGCAGGAACAGAGTATGTTGGGGCTCCTCAGAGACCGAGGTACCCAGGGGAGGTGTGCATGTGCTCTGCATATTTGGAATCACTCTGACGAGCTCCTTCCTTAGCACCACAGTGCTAAGCCTGAATGCCACCTTCTCACCCTGTGCACCATGAGTAGCTCAACTAATGATGGGTCCCTCAGAGGGCTATCTGTAGCCAGATGAGAGAGTTTAAGAAAATAGCAGCTTGGTAACTGTGGGCAGAACAGGTATGGTGCCGTATGAGCAATCAGAAATTTGCCAGAGGCTGAAGTTGTTACTTAGGTCTCAGCTCAAGAAGGGCTTTGGTTTTGCAGCTTTTCAGTGCATGGTAGCTCCATGCATGCCCAGTCACTGGATGGGTAACTGGGGATGGACATGGCAAGGGGTGTCTTCAGTGTTCATGTAATCAGCATTCACAGAGTGATTTCTCATTAGCATCACTGGAAGTAGGTTCATGCCAGCATTAAGCACATCGGACGATATGAACACAGGCAATGCTCCAGCTCTGAAAGCGATTCTTTCCTCCTCCTCATCTATTACCTAAGGGATGATCTACTTCAGTCGCATCTGAGACTAACTCATGCTAACTGTCATACATTCGGGCTCTGACCTGCTAGAGAAGACTTGAAAGCTTTGTGAAAATGTCGAGCAGGCCAAAGAGCTCGCAAGCCCTTCTCAAGCCTCGGCAGTTAATTCCAGGGGGAAAGCTAAAGGAGATGCCAGGAGAAGGTTGCATGCTTGGCACTTGGGGCAGATAAAGAGAGTGCTTTGGTGGGAAGAGAGCAATGAGCAAAGGAGCTCTTTCGGCTGAAATCACATGGGTGAGATAGATGGAAGAATCCATGCAGGAAAAGCTTGTAGTTGGGTAGTCTGGAATCATTGCTTATTAAATCATTCAGGATGAATTCATTTTGTGGGTTGCCGTTTAGCTTATTGTTCTTTCTTCCAGAGAGCATTTTGGATTCTGAGATACATACTGAGAGGATATTGCATAGTGTAAGACAATAAATCCCATTCAAGGAATCCAAAACTGTATTAAAAGACATCCAATTACTGTGGAAGACAGAAAAACTGAAGGAGTTGGTCTTGACTTAGTATGGAGTACTACTGAGAGTACTAGTAAGAAAAGCCCTGGAAAGATACTGTATTATTGATAAATGTCAGAATTTTGCCTGTGATTTAGGTCCACACTTTCAAAAGGGACTTGCCATCGATGCCAGCTTTGTGCAGTTTGCCAATCCAGCAGGGCAGTGCCAGGGAACTCTGCTGGGGGATGCCCAGCAGGCAGGTCTGTGTGAGAAACAACATTCCCTAGTGCAAAAATGTGCTGTGCCTTCTTACCATGTCAATTAGTCACATCGGCGAGAGAGCCTGATTAAAAGGAAATAAGAGCGGAGCATTTGTGGACTTACTGCACAGCTCATGTAGTACAGCCATTTTTATATTAAGGGAATAAATGTATCCTTTATGTTTAAGAATCAGATTTCCAAATTGGAGCATTGGATTAAAAAAAAAAATAGGTCTGCTGAATTACTGTGTTGCATAGCTTATTTACATGACAGCCCAAAGTACGTATTTCA